GGGCTGCGCGCCTGCAGCGCGTTCACCAGCCCCACGAAGAAGAGGAGGCTGAGGAAGGGTGCGCCCACCCCCACCAGCGCCTGCCAGCCCGCCATGGAGATGCCGAAGACGAGGGAGGGCAGCAGGAGGAAGCAGACGAGGAGGTACAGCACGGCGAACCAGCGGTACTTGGCCGTGCGCTCGCCCAGCGCCTTGGCCATGCGGATGGGCAGGCGGGTGAAGGGCAGCGGGTACCACAGCAGGATGCCGGAGATGTTGAAGAAGAAGTGGCAGAGGGCAATCTGCAGGGATGGCACCCCTGTTAGGCCAGGCACGCCAGCTTCCCCAGTCTCGCCCGGTGCTCCCCCCCCAGCCCAGCCGTGGCCCCAGGCCCGTACCTGGAAGGAGCTGGCCAGCTTGTCCCCTGGGCTGGCCAGGGCGGCCAGGATGGCGGTGGTGGTGGTGCCGATGTTGGAGCCCAGGGTCAGTGGGTAGGCACGCTCTATGCTGATCACCCCCAGGCCTGCGGGAGAGGCACCCCATCCCGTCCCATCGCTCCTCACCAGTGCTGTCCCCATGCTCTCCCAGGGAGGCACGGCTCCTCCTGCCCCTCCAAGCCTCAGCGCCCACAGGCCATCACGGGGGGATCAGGTCTGGCTGGGACTCACCGATCAAGGGTGTGATGGCCGAGGTGAAAACAGAGCTGCTCTGCACCACGAAGGTCATCCCAGCGCCCACCACCATGGCGAAGTACCCAGTGAGCCAGCTGAGCGGGTGCGGGAGGTCTGCCATTGCATGGCCATGGGCACGGGCATGGACACAAGCATGGACACATCAGCTGGGAGAAGCCCGGAGCTCCTACATGGTGCTGGGGAGGGGGCTGTGGGGCCGGGCTCTGTGTACGGGGTCAGGCTGTGGGTGTGGGGCCAGCCTGGTGCCCGGTGGCCGGGATGGTTGGGGAAGGCCAAGATGTGCACACGAGGAGGCCATGACAGCCATAAGCAGAGTGGGGATCCGGGGCAGGCAGGGGACACGGGGGTCCAGGCAGGGATGGGGGTTAGGGGCAGCCAGGGATGGGTCTGAGTGTGGCTGGGGGGGCTGGGTGGCCATGGAGCAGGCAAAGTCCCATCCCACTCACCCATGGCGGTCCCTGTCCCACTCACCAGTGTTGATGAGCTACTGGATGGCTTTGGCCACCTGCCCCTTGAGCAGGGAGGTGAGGAGTTTGACCAGGAGGATGAGGCACATGCAGAGCACGACGAGGGACCCGGCCAGGAACAACA